ATTGAAGCAATAAAATGACATTTGACTTTTGCCTACCCCTTACTCTTAGATTTCTAGTACATCTCAAATTCACAACAAAACGGAACTTTATGTCCATATCAACACAAATCATTTATGCATACGGTAAGGACATAAATACATAGGGTTAGTAACAATGACAATGTTTTTCAAACTCACTTATTCAAAAAATATGTATAAATAATCTGTTATGTAGCTAGTTAAATGATAAATTATTCTACTTGTTTTCATATCCGGAAATAAAATCTTGCTAGTGGTAATTAATTAAGTAGTCTACAGACTACACTTACATAAAAGGGAGACTGTGACGGTTCCTGCAATTATCTTCATGCTAACACGTAAGCAAATCAGAAGACAATGACATTTCATTCACACAGTTTAAACACAAGGATATATCACGAGAAAGTGGAAATAAAGAAGACATTTACTTAAGTCATGACATCATGATACTAGGCCCAATTTTTTGTATTGATAAATGGAAAACTAAAATAAAAATAAAAAAATTAATCTTTAACACCTAGATTTGTTTGACGTGAGCTCAAAGGAAGGAGGATTATCCAAGCCTTATAAGAAATTCAATTATCTCATTAATCAACGATGTATAATTTTGTCATTCTTAACAAGAGTTAGACCAAGTGACTTTAAAGTCGTGTAAGGAAATGATGGGTCGTGCACTCACTACTGAGAATCAAAAGGTCAAGCCATATAGCAAATACTAATACGAGAGCTAAATTTCTTCAGAAAAAAAGATCAAGCCAATATAGCCATATATAAAGTTTTACTATAAATTTAGTACGATTGAAGTGGTGGGTGTGTGCTAATAGTGTACGTACGTTAATACTACATTTTATATGCGTAACATGAGAAGGAAATGAAAGAAAGGAAGATGATGGAGACTGATGATTTCAAATTATGGAGAAAAACGTTTATATTGTTACCTTTCATGACAGTTAATTGCAATCCATAACATGGACCATCTATTATTGTACCTATCTCTCTGTACGTGCCAAACTTAGTTTTGATTTTTGATGATTATCCTCACTTCTTGTCATATGAATATCATTTAACAACTACTCATATTTTTTCCTTTAGGACTCTTACTCCTCTAATAAGCTAAACTTTTGTTTATGTGTTTGGATAATTATAGACTAAAGCTGATAAATGAACGGTTTGAGCTGAAGTAGGATGAAATTAAATGAGCTGAATCAATAGATATTGGTGATTGTCCAACTCTGTTCAAAAGCTAGGTGAGCTTGATCAAGATAAGCTAAACAATGAGTCAAAATCTCAATTGCGAGTTATGTTTTAGTTGGCTAATTTTGTCACCCTAGTTTGAATTTGGTTACGACCTTAAATAGTGTATTTCATATCACATCCTAGGTTAGAAATAGAGATTCTAATTCTATCATGAGTTTGTTCTATTAACACAAGGTATATGCATGTTTTATCACATTATCTTAGCCTCTACAACTTCTATCTACTATATATCCATATATTTTAGCTTTACTACTTTTTGCAGTTGGAAAAGCAAACTATTTTTGGAAAAATTATTTTTCAATCTTTCTTATGTTTGATTGAGTTAAATATTTTTGAAAATCAACATATTTCTCAAATTTAAGGAAAATGACTCCCCTTCAAAACTTAAGGAAAACATTTTACAAAACTCTCTTCCAACTTCAAATTACAACACACACACACCCGCCAGAAAAAAATATTAAAAGATATTTTTAATAGATATTTCTAATTTTAATTTTTTATATTTTTACCCCCAAAAGAAATTTATGTTTATTTTTTAAAAATATTTTCAACTTCAAATTTTTATTTTATCACCTCTACCCTCGACCCTCCAAAAAAATTAAGTTTGTTTTAAAAAATATTTTCAATTTCAAAAATTATGTTTACTCTAGTAAAAGTAAAAGATGTTTCTCAAAAATATTTTTATTCATAAAAAGAAAAACTAAATATTCTACTCACCAACTAAACATGAAAAACAAATCAAAAATCTAATAGTTTTCCAGAAACATTTTCCTTCCTACCAAACACACCTTAAATGTCCTGATTTGTTAAAGTAGTATTCAACGGTTTGTGATGAAATTAAGTACGCACTTAAACACTCATAATTTACTTCCTTCGTTTTCATATTTTTATTTTTATTTTTCTCCGCCTTTGTTGTTCGGTGTTAAATTTGAAGGAGGTCTCTGTTAAGTATTAAGAGTAGGACATTTAATTATCAACTAACAACTTCATTAGGCAATAATGTTATTGTGATAAATATATATATATATATATATATATATATTAGTCGGTTGAGAACCTAAAGTTTGTTGAGGATATAACTTTCCACTTCTCCTAGATACATTTTGTTAATCAGTATCTTCTTGGAGATTTTCAATATATACGCATAGTCAGGTTAAAAAAATTGCGCAGAATTAAACACGTTTCACTCACTTTTCAACATTTTTGAGACAATTATATAAGGGACTTAATTACACACATTTTTATATTCATTTAACCAAACATATCTCAAAAATGAAAAAAAATAGAATTCATACAAATTACATACACATGAGCTTTCAATATTTTTTTAAAACTGTGCTATATCATTTATGCTGATACACAAAGTGACCACACATATCTCAAAACAACACAAGTCAGTTTTGTGTCTCTTTGGAGCCACAAACAAAAAGCCATTCGACACAAATAGAAGTATCAGAGTCTGAGTTGGAAAGTTAATGCTGTCCCAATCGCAATTTCTGCCATAGGCCATTGCCTTTTTATGGCGAACATAAACACAGTCAGCATGGCCCCCCATCGAGGTACTCATCTGGGTTTACATTACCAATGAGAAAAGCATAATTTACATATCATTAATTCACATAAAAGGCCCATAGTCGCGATGCATTATTGGAGGAGTGCTCCATAAGAAAAAGTACAGTTTCGGCTTACATATGGAACTGACCAAATTACGACTATACGGTCAAAGAGTTACTGGATATGTAATTTGTACCCGCGGGAAAGTTTAATTTTTCAACTGACCATTTTTTACTGAATTTTAGATCTTTTAAGCTTCTGACATTGTTTATATTAGTGAACTAATGATATATTCGAATCTACTTTTAAGGATAATCAATTAAATATCCTTAAAGTATTGAAATAGTATAAAAGTATCTTTATTTACTTATTGGATCCAAAATATATATTCTCATTTATCTATTGGGTCCAAAATTCCCTTGTCATCCACCTTTTCGTTCAAAATTAACCACTTATTTAACAGTTTTATATTTTTGAACTATTTAAAATATTCTTTTAAATAAGTGACGCTCAACTATTTATTATAATTTAACTTATTAGTATAATTTATAAATCAATACACTATCCACCCATTACTAATTAAACCCCTTCAAATTAATAAACCCATCACATTATTAATGCAACAACTAAAAAATTACTGTTAATTGAGTGTTTTTAAAATTTTGAGGTGAAAATATCATTCATTCAAGTGTCTAAATAAAAATTACCGATAAACTTAAAAGTCCAACTATGTTCATCTTAATTATTGTTACGTCTCAATTATGTGATGTTACTTCATAGGTAACATTTTTTCAAAATAATATATTAAAGGTTTTAAAACAAATCATAAATATTTATAAAATTATATTTAAAAAAAGTGTATGAATTAAAGGATGCATTATTCTTTACCTTTAATCATAAATTTCTAATTTATTTTTTAAAGAAAATCCTATTGAAGTCTCCTCCTAAATAAGCGGTTCAACCTAAATTTTATTGTGGCTTCGATTCGGACTCAAATAATTTTGGATGTCATTTCACGAATTTATAATTTCATCGTGTTTTAGTAGTGTTTATTGCGATTTTGATATAATAATTGGATTATTAATTGGGTGGGGTTTAGTTAGTAATGAGTGGATAGTGGGTTGGTTTATAAATTATATTATAAATTAAATTATAATCAATAGTTGAATGTCAAGTATTTTTAAAAATATTTAAAGAGTTTAATTTAAAACAATTAAATAAGTAGTCAATCTTGAATTAAAAGTGGATGAGAATGGTATTTTAAAGTCAATAGGTAGATTAAAAGACATTTTAGAGCCAATAGGTGGATGAAAAATAGTTTTATATCATTTTCAGTATTTCAAAAATATTTTAATTGATTGATGATAGCTATTAATAGTAACTTTGCCCTTCAAATTCATAAACTTTTCCAGTCCGTGTTATATGAGCTAGCTCTTCCTCATAATGCTATCGTCTGATACACTTTAATCAATCACCTCAAATGTCTAATAAAACTTCCTCCGTCCGGAATTGTTTGTCATGTTATGTTTATTAAAAGTCAATTAGATTAATTTTCAAAGGTAAATTAGATCACATTAATTTTATATTTTAAACAAAAATATTAGATATTCTAAAACTATATAAAAAGTACTATAAATTATAATTTTTTGCATATTAATATAATGAAAAATAAATCTTAAAATATTAATCAAAGTTTTTATAGTTCGACTCTAAAAATAAAAATCGTAACAAATAATACCAGACGGAGAGAGTATATAATATTAACTTTAGGCTGACAAAAGCTTCACGTGTGTTAATAGAGATAAAAATAAACAAACGGATATGCCTCGCTAGTAGAGTGCTAGACAGATTTGACCATCTAACAATTCATATATATATATATGTACTACCGACACTATATACAGGGAATACTGGAATTTCAATAGAATAGCCAAGAGTAACAAGAAGAGCAAGGTACGTACGAATGACGAATCGATCACTTGATTTACTTTACTCTTGAGGTTGAATATCATTTAGACAAAAGAAGAATAAACATGACATTACTAATATCTCAATCAAACAGGAAGAAACATTATTGGCTCTCGTAGAGTGTACGTACAATTTACATATACAGACAACAATATATTACAGCAATAAAACGACATTTGACTTTAGGCCACTCTTTCTATAATCTTAGTACATATAACAACGGAGCAAGCATTGATAAGACATGAACGTGACTGTCCATATCAATGGGCACAAATTTCATCCCCCCCCCCCCCCCCCATGTATACACAATTAAGGAGAAGTTTCAAATTCCGGCCCTACATTCTGGTGGGGGAACGGGGTTTCTCGATTTGTCTGTGCAATAATCATAGATCATGTGATTCATTCGAACCCAACGATATTGCCTTGCTTGTACTGGGCTCAGTTGTTGATAAGAAGGTCCTTCCCACCAATTACTTGGGTTGGAGGCACAATTTGCTGGTCCTGGCATTGCACATCCTTCAATGTCAAAATCCTTGTAGTATGCGTAAAATGGGGATTTGCTCCAATTTATTTTCTCTAAGCCACCTCTTGTAGCCCAGTCGTCAGCTTCCCACAATGTTGAGTAGACACCCATGGGTTGAAATTTGGGGAATGGGATTCCTTTTGCTTCGTTGTTCTTGTACACTCTAATGGGTATTCCATCCACTGAGAACCTTCAAATTTACAAAAAAAATTAATTAGTTTTACATAAGTACGTACTACTACAAAAATATTTAGTCAATTTGATTAATTACATGTAATTTTCTAAGGATGGACATTAATCAATTGAACCGAACCTAGTGAAAACAGTAACTTACATGTTATACTCTACAAAATCGATTTTTTTTTTTAAAAAAAAATAAACAAATCATGGTTATGAAATAATGTACAAAAATGTTATTTTAATTTCGTAGTCTTAAACAATATATATACATGTACTTACACGGCTTGATGATGGTTCCAAAAAATGGTGTATGTGTGAAAATCAGCGGATGGATCGAACCAAAGGTTAACCCTTTGTTCCTTGTCACCTTTTCCGTGGACATAAACATTCGTTTGAACAGTGTACGGCTGCCCTGTCCGGTTTCCCAAGAATTCGAAGTCAAGTTCGTCTCTTACGTTATCTGTGTCCGAATTCATCTGAAAAAAAAGAATGTCAATAAATATCATGTCTAACGTCAAATTAATGAATAACTACTGCATTTATACTTACGTAAAAGGCGGTAACAGTTCCTGCAGAGTCACCTGGAACGAGCTTGATCTTCATGCTAACACGTCCAAACAGGTATTTGCTTCTCGAAGCAAATCCACATCCTTAAAGCAAAGTAACAATCATTATTATCATGAATCATGCATGAGCATGACACATACAGAGGCAGATGATGTTAAAAAATATTAAAAATTGAAATTTTGACTCAAAGTTTTAAAAAGGATAATACCTGAGTTTTGATCGAGAATAAGTTGAATTCCCCTGCCGCCATCGAGTTGTTTGATGTGAGAGTCGGACCAAGCGATTTTAAAATCCTGTAAAAAAGTGGCGGGTCGTGCACTTACTAGTGAGAATGAAAAGGTCAAGGCATATACCAATATTAGAACAAAAGCTGAATTTTTTAAGGAAGAGCAAGTCAATGTGGCCATTGTTTTTTTTCTAATTATATAATTGGATGTTGTGGTGTTAGTGTGTGGAATTTTGTGAGGTTTATATATGAGTAAGTATAAAAGAAAACGACGAAAGAAATTCCATTTTCATTTTTTCATATTACAATTTACAGCTAATAGCAAGCCGTCAATGGACCCTCTCTCTATGCCAAACCCTACAATTAATCCAGAATAATTCTTTCCCTTCTTCTGTCATATCACCATATTTTTACTTTCATGTTTATTGCAATTAGTAGCTACTAAACCAGAGGTCCTATCTAATCTACGGTCTTCTAATTACTTTATATAAATGACTTTTGACTTTTTCAAAGCCTAATTGGATGTACCCGGTATCAATTTCATTATTTGCAAATATAACAACAAAGAATTTATTTGCATATACTAAATAAATAAATCAACCTTTTTTAAAGAGGAGGAAATTTGTATTCAAGCATAATTTTAACTTTCAAATATTTTTTTTCTTTATTTTTTCCAACGTCAACCGTATTGATTGTAATCTTCATCGATCGAAGACAACGATCTCTCTTTGAATGGTGTCTCCATTACTTTTATTAAGGTTAGTCTTTAGTCATCAAATAACTACTTTTATTATTACAACATTCAAATTTAGGTGACATAAATAACATCTAGCTAGGTGTACCCTATGTATGGATGCCAAATTGTACATTATTACTCATTTTAAAGACTTCTAAAAAGGTGTGTTTGATATGATAGTGATTAAAAAAATGACATATCCAAGTCTGAAGTCAGAATTTTTTCAATATTATTTATATGGAGGAGATCTAGTTTTAATTTTATAATTAATGTATAATTCAACACCTTCACATATTTAGAATTGGGCATTTGAAACATAAACAATATAAGCAATAATTTGAAATGGAGAAGATTCAAATATCAATTATTAAGCTAAAACAATCAAATAATATCCTTAATATAAAATGAAAATGATATTGTCTAACTTGGAATCAAACTTGGACGACTTTTACCTAAAAACACTCAAGTCAAGATGTGGAATTGTTGGATTTATTGTTTGGTTGCTGCTTTTTCTATTTACCGGGTGGTTTAGCGCATATCATTTTTCTAAAAAAAAAAAGTCTCGCGCAATTAATTAAATGTATACTATTGAATTATATAAATTATTTTATATATAGATAGTAAAAATAATATCTCCACTTAAGAATGAAAATCATTTTCCTGTTCACATGTTTATTTCTTAATAATTAGCTACTTCAGGATTTAAAATTTGGCTACCTTTCGATACTTATAAATATCACCAAATCATTATCTTGATGAATTATTGCTCACTTTGTACAATTACCAAACATCATCTTATTTGATACTCAAGCAAACATTGAAAAAATGATAATTTAAAATGATTTCCAAAAGCAAGACACTCCCGTGACAAGCATTTTACATTGTACCAAACATACAAGGGTATGTTTGTGTTTATGTGAGGCGCCACAAAAAAATGAGGTGAAGCCCAATGGAGGAGCCATAGGTTTTTTATTAAATCTTCTTGTAATGAAATTATATCGTGGAATGATAATTCAATCGAAATGATCACCCAAAAAAATATGAATCAACCCATCTTCATATATATATTTTTACATTTCAAATCTATCAACGAATATGAAGGAAAACTTAATAGTTTAGTTAGTTGAATATATTTTTTTTACTTTCCTGACCCCTAATTATTATTTTTTTTAGAAAAAAACAAAATAAAGTTTAAAAATGATTTTTATCAAGTAATATTTTCGAGTATAAAACCATGAGAGTCATTTTTGGAGATTAATTAGTGCAGTTGCCGTCATTGGGTGTCCACGAAACTTGACGGCAGATCAGTAAAACATGGCCCACATTAAAGCGCTTATCTGGCTTTTAAATGGACTGCAATTGTGTGTAGACCACATATGAATTTACTACACACAAATAAGCCAATGTGAAAGTGATATTGACACACAGTTATAGGATCACCAATTATTTTAGTACTATCCTGAATTTATTTCTTTGATTGATCACTGGAATTTATCGAATTGAACTGTAGAGCTGGAAAACTCTTAGGGAATTATTTTTTCAATGACCAAACACAGAGTTCCACGTGGCATTATTATTAATTAGATATCAAAAACCAATCATGTTTTTGTTAAAATTTTGTGCCCTAACAACGATACCATTTTCTTAATCAGTGTTACAATCGGCAAATGACAACTGAAGGTACTGATATCCTATTTTTGGATGTGATATAAATTTTCAGGACATTTACTTTATGCGTAACTTATTGAGCTAATCTAATTTAATTTTTTTTACCACAATAACATTATTTATCTTTATAACTTTTTTGACTATTGATAAATTTACATCCTTTAAATGGACAAGTCACGAATAACAATCCCTCTCACTTCTTTTTTCTTGATTGTAGGGCTGACCCAACAAATCTCTAGAGATTAAGTTGTCTCTAGGCTTTTAGACAGGTTTTAATGTTCACTTACCCTACTACTGCTTATTAGAAAGGATTTATTTCACTATAACAAAGTTATTTTTTGAAGATCGAGTCTAAAAGGTTTTATTTAATAAAGTTATTGCTTGGAGATCGAGTTTAAACTATAATTCTGAAAACTAATATGATATAAATTTGTAACTCAATCTTTTCCCTGCTGTATCATTCTACCACATAGGCCAAATAAGTAGGTATCAATTTAGAAAATTAAGAAATTAAAGATGATAGCACAATGGGAATTGAAAGCTAAGTATGAAATGTCAAAATAAATGATATTATTGGTAAAGTAATTGATACCTTGTCAACATCATTTACGTGTAATATGCAATGGACTCATTTACTCTAATAAAAAAAATCTCCAACAGTGTATGGATATTGAGTAGGCTCACTTCATTGAAGGTCTTCTGCAGTTGTGTCTGCCTTCTGGGCCTTGCAATTTGCAGCTCCCTCCATTATTGCCACTAAATTTAACCTAAATTTGTACAACTAAACGTCTCTGTGGTTACAATGCCTCCAAATTTTGACAACACACATTTCAAACTATACCCAATAAATTCGAATTAATCATTGTGATTTCATGAGCATTGGTATACGATTGAATGTATCCACAAGATTCCTCATAATTAGTACAGTTCATGGCATTTCTACTTTTAGGCTTCAAAATCTTATGAAATGATCCAAGACAAACTCTAATATTTGTGGGCAAATGAGTGGGCCTATGGGCCGGAAAGCCTTTGCTTCTTTATGTATATTGTCGTATACATTCTTCTATTTGGTCTCTAGTTTCAACCAAAGGAATATATGGCCCATTAACAAAACGATCAAGTCCATATCCTTTTTAAAATGTTCTCCTCTTGAATTAGGTGTTAGTTGGTGGGGGTAATTGATTCATTTCTTTGCCAATGTACTTTCTAAGAAATACAATTTTCATACACATTATAGGTTGGGCCATATAACGAGTAGAGTAAGAAAGCAAATAAAAGAGAAAAGATCAGATTGGCTTCTTTTCTTTTGGGAAACTTACATAAATATACTATAATAAAAAATATTTACTATTTATAGCAATAACATTTTTCTTCACGTAATCACTTTTAATTTATTTATAATACAAGCTTAATACATATTACAAAGAACAATTTATATTCACATATAATACAAGTTTTATTGATGGATAATGCATTTATCACACATTTTGATACATTTATAATACAATGTGACAATATTTTACCAAACAAACATAAGATATTTCAAAAGCAATTATAATTCAAATATATTGCATACATAATTCACTTTTAATACATATTACAGATTTATCTCAGTATTGCTATAAATGATAATAAACAAAAAATATCTTTAAAATCAGTAATTATTTTCAAAAATGTATTAATGATGTAATTTTTCCTTTCTTTTTGGGTAACTGCAGATGGGCTTTTCGGACATAAGACGTGTGAATTTGTTTGGTCTACATATGTAGAGAAATCTAAAAAAGAAGGTTTCTCCCCGGGCTTCCACATAACTATACATATTACAAAGAAAAATTAGGAGAAATTATGTGTATAAGCAAATATATATTAATTAATTACTTAATATAGTTGTAGTTTGTCTTAGTTACAGTTTACAACCCACTTTTAGTTATATTTCTGCGGTTCAGCTTTTTAGTTTTGTATAATTCGAAATTTGTATGATATAATTTATGTAACTTTTGTATAATGTTGTAATTTTACACTTCATATGTTTGTATTGGTATAACTTCATTATTTCAAGTTTGTACGAAAGTAACTGAACTATACAAATATACTTGTGAAATATACCTGTAAATTATAAAAATCCATGAATTATACAAACCAGACAGCTTAAATTATAGCTACAATCCACAAAATATGCAAAACTATAGCTATGAAGCATAATAAAGTTTATTACAATGGCTATTTGTGAAAGTTCCCCCAAATATTACAACAAAAGCAACCATAAATGTTGTATAAATAGTATATAATTATGTGTATATGTATATTATTTATACATTGCAATAGTTTATCTGCTCAACGACGACGAGAATATTATTAGAAAAGAAAGAGAAGGAAACAACCATTAATGGCTAATAATTGGTGATGAAAACAATTGAGATAATTGAAGCAAAGATAAAATAAGGTAAAGAGAAGGTTGTAGTTGACAAAATTTGGTGATGAAAATAATTTATATATTTACGTGGTAGAATATAAGGAGCAAACAGTCTTGATAAATGAAGAGAAAAGGAAAGCAACGCCTTGCACTGGCTTGCCGTTGAAAAGTGCTGAATAATCATTTATAATAAAGTTACCTTGGGTAATTTTTTTTGATTTAATAGACATTTTATCGAAATTTTCTAATTAATAATTCATTGACTGAAAACTATACTGGGCATTTGGGCCCTCTAGGTTGGATATGAATGAACCTAACCTTCTGTAGCACAGAAATTTGATCTATCTGGGAAAGCGATAGATCGATTCAAGGAGTTTGGTGTTTGACAATTTAACTTTGTGGGCATATTTTGTAGTAGTAATTAATCAAATGGTGAGCTAAAATATACCTACGACCTAAAGTCTAGCAATACTCCATTTTTAGTAATAATATAAGAAAGTACAAAGTCGCTTATGTTATAAAGCTTTTTTACCTTCAATCGACTTACCTGTACAAATTTGGTAAATTTAAGTTTATTCGGGCTTTCGGTAAACCAAAAATGGTTGATTACTCTCCATTCTTATACTGCATATCTATTGTTCACAGTTCCACGTGAATGAACGAAAAAGTAAAAATGTAAAGAAAAAGTCATGTTAACAAGAGATATATTATGTGCGCCTAATTAGGAGTTGATTTAAATGTATTAAAATTTATATAAAATCCTATGTTTTTTGTTAGTGCTTTAGAATATCAGGAAACTTATTAACAGACCGTTTGGATGAGCTTTTAAAGCTTGTCAAATTGATTTAAAAGTCAGTTTTTAATTTATTAGCGTGTTTGACAAATATAAAAGTAATTTATTTTAAGTTAAAATGACTTATTTTAAGTCAAAAGCTAAAAGTTAGGTGATGAGTGTTTTCTTATTTAAAAGTCATTTTATATTTACCGTGTATATTTCCTTTTTACCCTTAATTATTTTATTTTTATTCTTTATTATTATTATATTTTATTATTATTATTATTATTATTATTTATTATAATGATAATTATTGTTATATATTATTATTATAATTATTATTTATAAATAATTTGTATTATTATAATTATTTTCATATTATTATATTATTATTATTATTATTTATTATAATGATAATTATTGTTATATATTATTATTATAATTATTATTTATAAACAATTTGTAATAATAAAGAAATATGTGAACTATAGAAAAATATCATTACTTATGGACGTAAAATATAAATTAAATTTGTTTCATTTTTTAAGTATAAAAATTTTAGATTTATCAACTTTTATCATGTTAACAAATTTTAAGGGTATTTCAAATATTTTTATTAGAAAAAATGTTTACCAACACTTATTTGGCAAATACATTAACAATTTTTTTTTAACTTCAACACTTTTATCCAAACACATAATTACTTATTTAAAAAAATAAGTTCCAACACTTTCAATAAATACTTTTCAAAAACTACTTTTTTAAGTTCATTCAAACGGACTCTAAAATATGAGAGAATTAATTTATTACTCTATTCTATTCTTGATTGAAATAACTAATACAGTATTTAGTATATCTGCACAACTCTAACAAGAGGAAAATGGAGTGTGTGGTTGGGGTGAAAGGAAGCAGAACAGAAGAAGAAACGTCCTACTATGGGCAAAACATTGCATACTCACACTGCTTAAGAAAATTCTGAAAGCGAAAACCCCATAATTGTAACAGCTATATTCAGGTGTCTGATAGTGTATTTTTGGCCTTTTTAGTGGATTCTTCTTGTTCTTTTTTACTTCACACTATCCTATCTTCCTTTGCTTTATGCTTTTTGGATTTTTCTCAAAATACATCTATAACAAAAATAATTAATTTTTACATTATATTATGTTATCTCCTCCCTGTGATATTCAAAAAAGTCACAATACATAAATATATTTTTTAATTTAGCTTCGAATCATATTTATGCCTTTTAATTTTGCTTCGAATTACATTTATGCGCTTCAACTTTGAGTGTGCACAAGTAGACACTTAAACTTGTATGAAATTGAACAAATAGACACACATATTATATGTCATTCTTTTTCCTACGTGTATTGTGCCATATAGAACTCACGTATTTATTTATTTAAAAGTTGGATAGTTAAAGTGTCTATTTGTGCATTATAAAAATTGAAAGTCAAAGTTAAAATTTGAATCCAAATTTAAGATCCAATATATATATTATGCCTTCAAAAAATAATGTGTTTTTTTATTTAAAAGCTTTCCAAGTTAGCTTTTTTATAATTAAAATGCCCATCCCAAAATTACTTATAAATATCTTTTTTATTTTACAAACCCATGCTAATTAGTTTAAACTGTTACTGATATTTAACTTCTAAACAAGGGCGGAGCCAAGAGGGGCTTTGGAGTTGGATGAATTAAGTAAAATTTTCGTAGATTTTGTATATGTACAGTAAGTTGGTATAACTTATCGCGGAATAAATTATAAAGATATATTCTTTTCAACTCGATTAAATTCGAATCATGCTCTGCAGGATACATTCGAGGTGACGTGACGACTTTCAATATAATTTTCTCCGGGATTTGATTATTGAATGGGGGGATTTAAAAGATATACCTTCAGTTTTTATGAATTCATAAGGATATTTTTACAAACAAATAATTTGTTTTTAAAATTTATACAATACATATTATTTTAAATGTTTAATAAAAAATAATTTGAGCATAACTTAAATAATTCAAAGTATTTTTTATTCGTTGGAGCTTGTATATAAAGAATTGTTGAGAATAAATAGTGGTGTTTGTTCATCCGTGCCGAAAGGTGTGGCTCATGGCACGAGGGGAGTTGTTGAGGCTCTTGTCTTGAAGGCTAGCTAGTCCTCTGCAATACTCATCCTCTCTTTCTGTCGTTCCATCACACTCCTAATTACAGAAAGAAGGCGACATCTGATTAACTACTCATCTCCTTTCACTTTCTTCTTATCTCTCCTATAAGTAGAGATACATTCACTTTCAAGTCAATCATTACTTTTTAATTTTGAAATGGGCTGCAACCAAACAATTCCCTCTCTTACTATTTCACTTCTCATTCTTACCATTTCAAGCTTATCCCACTTCACATTCCACGCTGAAGGTACTCTGTTTTCTAGCACAGGTTATTTCGAATGGTTTGTTGGCACGAACAAAGTATAATTCCAATTCGTTTTTCATTTTGCAGGAAGAAAATTGCTTCATACCAACCGTCACGGGGATAATGAGGTAAATTTTTCTTTCAATCTGATTACAAGAGTGTTTGATAATAATTTATTTGTCTTGGGTTGTACGTAGATAGAGAGTGAAAAGAGAGCAATGTTAACATCACAAATTGGGTCTAGGCCACCTAGATGTGAAAAAAGATGCGGTACTTGCGGTCACTGTGAAGCCATTCAGGTTCCGACGAATCCACAAATTACAAATGGAAATAAGAATCATACCATCAACAACAAGAAAGCGTACAACAACATTGCCTATGCAAGGGACAATGACAACTCAAACTACAAGCCAATGAGCTGGAAATGCAAATGTGGGAATCTCATCTTCAATCCTTAAGCAACAACGCAAACTATAAGTACAGTTACCTTGTACATGAATCATTGCTACTTTCTTGTTTAGTTTGAAAGTTGAGTTTTTAACCCCAAAATAATCCCCTTTAATTTGGGCCCAAGTCTATTTTATTACTACCTTAAATGCGTACAAACCTTTCAAGTTTTACACAACTAACGTAAGTGTATTATGTTTTTCCGTGTCCAAGTAAAATAACAATCATGATCAACGACTTCTTTCTTGCCATAATTTTTTTCTCTGTGATAATTAATTCTCTTGTGCAGACTTCTACAGTATGTTTTTCTGTGTTATCTCATCAATTCCATAATATAAATGTAGACTTCTACATTTGACTAAGCTTCTAAAATCAATTTATTTTGATTAGAGTTGTACTTCGGATAAGAAGCAGTTATGTTTGACCAATAATTTTAAAAAATACTTACGAGCAACAATTAAACTTTTAAAAGTGCTTCAGATAAGCCTGGTTTGGCCTAACGGACTATGAAATTGGAACGACCTTAATTTTAATGGACCATTTGGTTAAAAAACTAGAGTCTACTACAAATAATTGTCTGTTGGGGATATCTTCTACCCAAAAAGTAAAATTTAAGGCAGGTCTAACGTTAATCAGCAATAAATGTAGTATTAGTAATGTATCTGGTAAGTATGAAGGTTCCTTAGAGAAGAGAAAGAATCTCTTGAGCGTGTAAAAGTGAAGTACAAATTGGCAGTAAAGTAAATGTATAAATCCGTAGAGATTACTAAAAGGGCATATGTAATAATTGACCTTACCCTGTTAACAAATCAGGCAGTAGAACTAAGAGTAGGCAGGTGAAAGATTTGGTTAAAACTGTTTACTGCTACTACTGAAAAGCTGATAGTATCGTATGATATGGCCATATTTTTTTACATTTATTGGAATATTAATGTGGATTCTGGATGCAACCATTCTGACTAACATTTACAATTTTTAAACAGCTAAAATAGATAATGTTTTCATCATCTTTATACGCAAGTGTTTTAAGTTGTGAAATGAAAAAAGAAAGAGAATTAATTAGTGTATCAGTTTTCTACTTGTCTTCTGACTCGATATATCGATGTTACTTTATGTGAATTGGAAGAAATCATATACTCAAAAGGTTTTTTCTTGGGGAAAAGAAGCAGTTATCTATACGAGTAATTTGGTTACAGTGTCCGTATTCGGGAACCTTAGGCAAGCTAGCACATGTCAAACGTTGAATTCTTCCATACACAGTGTTTGCAGCTTTGTCATCTAGACAAAACCCAAAGCTAAGAGAAAAAAAAAGAGTTCGGATTCTAATATACGTTCAAATCTCTTTATAACAATATTTTTTTAAAAAAAATATCCGAATAAACAGCGTCATTATAAGTCCAATCCGATATTAGGTAACCTTTTTTTAAAACAAGCAAGAATGAAGTTCTTACTCTGACATTCATGCTTAGTTACTTACTTACCCAAGAATGAATCATTATTCAGAAACTAGAAATTTGATGAAGAGTGCAAATTTTCTTTTCAATTGTTATAAAGGGTGCGCAAAATTCGAACACATAATAACTAACATTTATCCAATATACACCATGTTAAATATTCACACCAATAATTTGTGTTGCCATTAAGGATGTAATCATTTTCCTCGTATCACTTTCCCTTCTAGTAGTAGCAATAATTAATGTGTACGGACGGATTTATTAATCTCCCTTTGTTTAAATTTCACATTCTGGTCACAGGTAGAAACAGGGTTCTGTCGTTTTATCGGAACATTTATCCCCATGAGGAGCACAATTTATCTGAAATTTGTTGTTATTTGACGATCACCTAAAATATTTTCTTTTTTCATACCACAATTTTTTCAATACTATCTTTTCGAACAAAAAAAAAGAGTTTTATATCTCTGACCAATAATTTAGTTTGATTCTGTACTCCAAACATTCATTGTTGCACCTGCACACCTCAATGTCCGTTTACACAAATAAAACCTTTTCTTCTCACAACTGTCCCAGCCAGAACCCTCTGCAGTGAAGTTAATTGCGAGAGAAAAGGGTACAATTAAATACTTCGGCCTAAAATTACACCGTATATTTTCTCGTCCTGCACTCTTTTACAAACTAAGTATGCTTACAAATTTCTTGCAAGAGCCTTACATTACTTGCGTGGTACTAAGTTTCAACTGTAAAACAAATGTATTAGTTGATTATCTCAAGTTCCCCACTGAAGAGTTCGAAGTTTCTACATGTTCAAAGACATTTCCATGATATTAGACTCTACCAATTAGTCTAACTTGAACATATTTTGATCGGACTGTTACTAAATCTTTTTTCTGGGGGGGCTTCCACAACCGTCTTGTTGTATAATTTGACACGAATTCACCAATCAAAATCAGAGGTAGTTCAATTACCCGAATGACTTAACTCAATAGGTTCCAGCCTAATTGACATGAAATGGTAAATATCAAGAAACCAATTCATATGTAGAGACAGAAATTTAATATATGTCACATATCCATCCGAGGTAATCAAGAATGAGCATGATATTCTCTTCCATTTTTCTGTTTGTTTCCAACTTTTTAAACCCATAAAAAGCTGCCACCCATATTTGATAAGAATGTCATTCCCGAAGCCCTTTTTGTTCTATACGCTTTTCTTTAATTTTTGTGATGCCAATGCAATGATCAATCAATTCATAACATCTATACCGCTTATCAATGAACTCCAGGAAAGGATGCATAGAGAGCAACCTTTTGTCGAATCCCAGCTTGTAGGCATACACAAATTAATTTAGTTTTTCGAAGAATGCAAATCCGAAATCCGAATGTAGAAGTGATGCCAACTTATCAAGCATTGTCCTACGCCACATACCTTTGAATTTCATTCGATTTCCAGCTAAGCATGCAAACCCACACAAAAATTCACATATAGAAGTAACGAAGTAGTATCTTGAGGTCCAAAGGATAAAACAGGATCTATGAAAAAGCAAAATGACCAGTGGAGTAACATATTTGAGGGAATTTGGTTTTAACACGAGACATTTCTGCTTGATCTATCATTTTTATTTCTTCTTGCTGAAGGAGCCTCAAAGAGATAAACTAAACACATTCAACCGCTTCCAAGTACACTTTATTTTCGGAAAGCATTTCAACAAAAAGAACACTTCCTAAAATAATCAGAGTATTTGAAAGCATGACATGTTACAAATCACTAGTCTACCCAACCGATTTGGACTTCATTAACAGAGTCAGTCAGGCACACTGTTGACGCCATGTTGGAAAACAGTATAACAAAAGAATCACACATCAATAGTCATTAGGATCTAAGGAAGTGTTGTCACAAAGCACAAAATCATACCTGTGTAATCCCACAAGTGGATGCTTTCAACATGCATGGCTTGCTAAAGTTTCAGCTTTACTAACAACTATAATAGAATAGCACTAGAAACCAGGATCTAGCTATTCTGAATTTACAGCATAAAAATGCCCTGTAAAAGCTCGATACAGGATGAAAAAGTCCCTTGCTTGAAGCAACAAACTACCAATAGAATTTAGGATTCAGGCTCATTTGGTTGTACCTTACATACTACTAATCTAAAAGCCAATTCTAATCCAGCAACAGAACCCCAGCAAACATCTCCGAAGTGTGTTTCCCCTTGCATGCTATCAATAAAATCAGCACCATAAACACAATACACTACGCAATTTTGACCAGTAATAACACCAATACTATGCAGCTACCACTATATAAAAAACTGTGAATCACTGAAGTACAAACTTTCCCCTAGCAGCCCAAACTACGTCTACCGTTCGTTCAAACAGGCATAGGCCAACTAAACGGCATTCCTGTAGCAATTGGGGTTATGGATTTTCATAGTCAACAAGCCTCAGTACAAGAAAGATACTACAAGCCGTCACAGGGATGATTTCATTGAGAAATACAAGGCAAAGATATCATTCCTCAAAGAAGCAACTAGAAATAACAGAAATCAAAGTGCAAAATAAGAATGACATTACTTCAACTGTCTAGACTCTACAACCCTGCAGCAGGTTCATATTCCCTCATCACTCTCATTCAGATGAAGATGTCATTTACTTAAAAGTTCTTTGTTTGTTTTTTATTTTTCTCCGCTGCCGACTATGGTGTATTTGTATTTGGGTAAAATTAGCCAGTGTACATGGCAGTATGAGCGGAGAACACGTGATGCTAGCAAAAAGGCCCAAAGTAGTAAGGTGAAATCAGAGAAGTGACGGGTGCCATGCGAGTGGTTATCACAGGAACAAACCAAAAGCACATGATCCTATGAATAGAGGACTCGAGACCCAATAACGTAGCCAAAAGGACAAAAAGGACGGATACGAATTGATTGAGCACGACAGAGGAATATTAATTGACACCACTAACGCATTTCCAAGACATCGTCCATTGGTCATAGTAAGCTAGGGTTCGGATGGAGCCTTTTTATTGCCTTATGCATAATCATTGTGATCTATAAATAGGATCTTCCACACACTTGTATGTCGTATGAAATTCAGATCCCACAAAACACAACAGCAAAACATTTATATTCTTCTGCTCCAAGCTTTCCTTACTTACTAAGTCCTTGTCTTATAGCATTGATGATTAACTAAGTCGTTCTCAGAATTGAAGCTAACAATGCCAGATTCAGTGCTCACCCACATCATCAAAGTTCAAAAGCTTCTTGCGACTACCTTTTTATTTGCTTTGTTATCATTATATCATTTTTACTAATTATCATCACGCTAATAACCAAAGCTAACGAGTTAAACTAACACGCGTGTCTATGACCTCATACAAATTTAACTGTACATTTTTTTGGTAAACAAAATTAAAATGGAAGGGGGAGAAGGTAGTGAAATAGACCATGACACCATCAATCTCAGTCTCTCCATGACTCCCAGAAATGATCATATAACTCAATACATTAAGGCAAGCGTTAACACCATAATCAAGGTGTTCATCGCCATGAATAAGATCTTGGAATCTTCAAATGTGCAACCTACAGATTAATTTTGTCATATAACCAGATAGCACTGATTCACAGCATTCAGTTGAAAACACCTTAAACAACTAGAAAGAAAGGACCTTAGACAAAGATGGCATCAAGCAAACAGAAATGAGGGACACATGAAGCAAGGTGCCCCCCATATTCTGCAAGGATACATAAGCAAAGAGTACAAGCGAATTTCATTCTGCGTACCCTTGATATTTTTCCTCAAAGCAAATTACCCTGTACAGTTCAAACCACGACAAGATGATAAATGTCCTAGATATGTCACAGGCAATCGTCCAATCTTTTCATATACTGACGTGTATAGTAGAAGTAGCGAGTGCAGATCATTGAATGCAGTAAATACACCCAAAATTATTTCCCAACATAATCAGAAAACACCACAAACTTTCCTAACATAATCATGCAAACACAATTGGGTCAAGATCATATAAGCATTTCAATGGTCAAAAGCAGAATATTAGAAACAAAAATCCAAGGGCAGCAACACCCATCATTTTTACCAAAAAGATGCTATATCCTGTCACTAAAGCAACTCATCGGTTTTATCATACACAATCACAGCGTCAACTTACAGTCGACGACAGTACATCTTATTGCAGAAACTTAACTCATAAAAGTAGCCTTGAAGCTCAAGAACATGTAATAAATATTCTGAACAAGAACCTGGACGATCAACTTCATTCCAAATGCTGTGTAACAACGAATCTAATGTTGTGCCCACTGTATACTCTTTATATCAATTCCCTCTTTAACCATTTCATAGAGTGGGCTCATTTCCCTTAATTTCTCAACCTGCTTGACTGTAAGATCTACAGCACGATCAATTTCTTGCTCAGTACTAAACCTCCCAATTCCATATCGAATCGACGTATGGGCCATATCTTCTTCAACACCCAACGCCCTCAACACGTAGGAGGGCTCCAAACTTGCACTGGTACACGCACTTCCACTCGACACTGCAACCTCCTTCAGACCCATCAACAAGCTCTCACCTTCCACATATGCAAAGGATAAGTTCAAATTCCCAGCATATCGCCTTTCAACACTTCCATTTATAACAACCCCATCAATCTTAGACCTTATACCATTCAGCAACCTCTCCTGCAAAGCTTTAATCCTCTGCTCGTCATATTCCATTTCCTTCATTGCAAGTTCACAAGCTGCCCCAAACCCTACCACTAGCGGAGTAGGTACTGTCCCACTCCTAATCCCTCTTTCTTGTCCACCCCCATTCATCTGGGGCTCAACCCTAATTCTTGGCCTACGCCTCATATACAAAGCGCCAACACCTTTTGGCCCATAAATTTTATGCCCACTTAACGACATCAAACTTATGTTCATCTTCTCCACATCAATTGGAACCTTTCCCAACGCTTGTGCAGCATCAGTATGAAAAGGAACATTAAATTCCTTGCAAATTTTCCCAATTTCCTCCATAGGCTGAATAACACCTATTTCATTGTTCACCATCATAACTGATACCAAGCCCGTATCAGGCCTTATTGCAGCCCGAAGCTTCTCCAGGTCAACAAGTCCATCAGACTCAACGGGAAGGTAAGTTACATCGAAGCCCTCTTGCTGTAAGTGACGGCAAGAATCCAGAACGCATTTGTGCTCCGTTTGAGTAGTAATAACATGTCGCTTCTTATCTTTATAGAAGTGCAGAACTCCCTTGACGGAGATGTTATTGGACTCAGTAGCACCTGAGGTGAAAATTATCTCCTTTGGAGAAGCTTTAACTAGGGTCGCGACTTGGGCTCGGGCCGCCTCAACTGCCTGATCTGATTCCCACCCGTAATAGTGAGTTCGGGAATGAGGATTTCCGTAACGGGAGATATGATAAGGAAGCATAGCGTCAAGAACCCTAGGATCCATCGGAGAAGTTGCCTGCATATCTAGGTATAGAGGTCTGCCGGATATTTTTACACCTTTCATAGTAATACCCGTAGTATCCTCTTCATACGGTTCTCCAACCGCCGCTGCCGCTGTGGAGAAAAGGCGGAGACGGCGTGTGCCATGGCAGGGTTTAGGCACCGTGCGCCGCAACGCTGTCGTTAGAAACTTCGAAAACATGATTTCAAAACTCGGTAATTCCTAACTCAGCGGTTTGTTTTCTTATCACAAAATAAAGTAACACCGAGTCACCGGTTCACCGACGTAGACCGCCTTATTTTTTAATCGGTGACACGTGGCAGCTTCTGCGCTTTACACTAAAATTTAATTCACTAAAACGACAGCCTAACTACAAATAACGACATCGTTTTGCGAAATTGGGAGATGAGGATCCCCAGTGTAAACGCTACAGTTGTTTAAATTATTAAAAAAAAAGGAGGGGAATTATGTGTGGTTTTCAAATAAATTGAGAAAAAGTGGATCTTGATCTGAAACTAAAAAAAGGTCACATCTTCACCTCTTTTGATAGTTCTTGATTCAACCTCTTCAAAAACTACTTGTCACCCATAAAACTCTTAAACCATTTTCCCCTTTGCCTTTTTTACACACAATATTGTTTATGGGGTACCAGTATTAGAAGCATATTATTACTAAGTTTGCGGTTTAAGGATCTTATATTATTGCACCTTTTCTTCTATTCTAATAATTGACCAAATTTGCCTATAAAGTTACCAACTTTTTGCTTCATTACCATTGGGATCTTGCATCCAGACTCAGAGACTCTCTTCTATTAGTGTATCAGGTATGTCTTTTTTTCTTTTAGTTTTGTGGAAAGATTTCAAATTTAGGTTGTGATGACTTGTTGGTTAGGATAGATTATCATTACTGTTCTTCGCATATTGACAAATGTAGATCTTTTGGAAACAATGTGTTTGTATTTCTGGATGTGCTTTAATTGTTGCAATTTCAACTGCCTGCCGCTCTTCATTAAGAGTTTATGTGCTTGGTCGCCTTCATTATGTTAAAATAGAACCTGATTTTAAATTCTGTAACACAATGACTGTTCAATGAATTGTGCTAAAATGATTCCCTATTTGTGTCTCATGTTGGGGGTTATCTTGAGTTGAATAAATGATTGAGAACTTGCTGGTTGATTCAAAGATAATATTCAGACATGTGTATCTGATATGACCAATTTCTTGAATTAATACTTTCTTTCATTGGCATCTGCCAAACCTATTGCAGCATATGTTGTTGAATCTTGTTAGCTCCTCCAACCACTGTTTAGATCTGGATGAAAGTAAGGAAGTAGTAGTAACTCAGATCCAGAAAGTAACCAATCTTTAGTTTAACTAAGTCGATTTGATTGTCTAACATTGTCAACAATGGCCTCTGTATTGTTGTTTTGTTTAAATGTACCAATTTGGTGTTGTTCTCATGATATATATGTCAGTATTCTGTAAAGCTAAACTTAGTGTTTTTTGGGGATTCTCTTTGGCACAAGCCCCTAAATTGCACCTTCTTCTTGGATCTTTTTTGTAGAGCTGTGTTTGGTTTATAAGAATATCATCATGTTCAAGTACTCGCCGCGTAGAAACCAACAGAGAAATAAAGGTTTTAAGGTGAAACATGCTCTTCAGATATGTGTACTTGTTGGTGTTTGTATCTGGCTGCTTTACCAGGTCCAGCACTCACGTAGCAAGAAAGCATCTATTGAACAAAACACAAGAGCCTCAGAGAAGGTACAAACTGACAATGATGTTATAAGGTTTGGAAGGAAGGACCTCCTACCTCAAAAGAAGGAAGTGGATATTGATGATGAGAAGCTGAAGGAGGTGACGGAGGAAGATGAGCTTAAGCGTTTTGATGATGATACCAAAGTGGAGGAGCATGACCATGATCTAGAAAAATCAGCGGAGGATAGTGAGCATAAAGGGGCTTCAGTGGATGAGGATACAGGGACAGAAAAAATCGAGGAGAAAGAAGTGAGTGGAGAAAATGCTGAAGCAGAAAGCAAAGAGAACACTGAAGATGGCAAAGGCGAGAATGAAGATGGCAAAGGCGAGAGCACTGAGGAAGCCACGGACTCAAATACCGACGACAGTGAAACTAATGAAACCAGAGAAGAAGATAGTGAAAAAGATCAGGTAAAGCAAAGTGACGTTGAGGGTGAAGAAACTAAGGATCAGGGATTAGAAAAGGAAGTCAAGGATGTTAAAGAGAATAATGACAGTGAAAGTGAAGAGAAGGCACAAAGTGAAGAGAGTGGAAATGAAGAAACCTCTATAAATAGAAGTGAAGAAGTAGTTGAAAATGTAAGTGACAAGAAGTCGGTGGAATTGGAAGAAAGTAATGAAGGGAAAGTAAAAGAGAATGAGGAGAGCAAAGAAGAGAAGAATGAGGGGGACAGCAGAGAGATTGATGAAGCCAGCAAAGAGAAGGAGGAGAACCAAGGCAAAACTGAAGAATCTGGCTCATCAGAAGATAAGGTTCATGATGAAGTTGATACAACTAATGAGGCTTCAACAGTGGAAAGTGGCAAGGAAGAGAGTTCAGTGGTTAAAGAAACTTCAGATTCTGAAAACATGACTGGTACAGAAGGAGATGGTAATGTAGCCTTGAATAATGAGGAGGAATCCAAGAAGGGAGAAGATGAGTTGCAAGATACGAAAAATAAGTTGGATTCAGATGCTGGAGAAAATAAGATGCTTGAACAAAATAGCTCTGCAGATACAAATACTGTTGGAGAAGTGACTAATGAAAGCAACACTGAGGACAGTTCTAATGCTGCAGCAGGAAACAATGAAGCCGCTAGCCAGCAGACAGAAACTGACAATTCTGCCTCTGAAGCCACTCAAAATGAAATCAACAGTAATGATAACTCCAATCAAGCAGGAACAAATGAAGCCAATGAACATCAGCAAGAAAATGAGAACTCAGCATCTCATACCATACAAAATGAGAACAACTCTAGTGATAACTCAGATCATGCAACAGGAACCAACAAAGCTAATGAACAACAGCAAGGAAATGAGAACAACTCTAGTAATGACTCCAATCACGCAGCAGAAACCCATGATGTCAATAAGCAGCAGCAGGAACAGGAAAGTTCTGTTTCTGATACCAAACAAAATGAGAAGAACTCTGGTGAAGACTCCAATCTTGCAGAAGGAACCAACGAAGCCAATAAGCAGCAGAAGGAACAAGACAGTTCTTCTTCTGACACCAAACAAAATGAGAAGAGCTCTGGTGAAGACTCCAATCTTACAGAAGGAACCAATGAAGCCAACAAACAGCAGCAGGAAAATGAAAGTTCTGTCGCTCATACTACACAAAATGAGAACAACTCCGGCGAGGACTCCAATCTTGCACAAGGAACCAATGATGCCAACAAACAGCAGCAGGAAAATGACAGTTCTGCCTCTCATACCACACAAAATGAGAACTCAATTAAGGAAGCTGTTTCTGTTGGAGATGGCACACAGAACGATCCAAATGAGCAGCAGTCTGAGAAAAACGATTCGAATTCCTCGGGAAATGAAGAATCAGTAACAAGTTCAAAAGGCTCTGTTACAGTTGACCAAAATGGCAACTCTGTAACAGCTGGTGCAACTGAGAAGTCAACAGGAGGTGGGAACGATCAAAATGAGGTAAACCAAAAAGCAGATACTAATTCTGATACAGGCTCTGGGAACAAAATAAATCCCTCAAATGACAATGATGAGACAGACCCCAAATTAACTGATTCTTCCACCTCAAATAGCAAACCTGATGATAGCCAGCAAAAGCAAGTGGAGTCGACAGATTCTGCGATTCCTCGAGAAGAGACAGAGGCTCGTACTGATCTGGGAACATTGCCACAGACAGGAAGCGAGGGGAACAGTCATGAAGAAGCTACAGCAGAGTAACACAGAAACGTAGTAGTAGTACTATTTTTATGCCAAGGTTCTGTTCACATTTTTTCTTCTTGCTGCCTTTTTCAAAGTCTTTCAAGGCAAATATGAAGTGAAATAACTTCGGTTTCCTTGCCTGTCGATTCCATTGACCCATCATGTGACAAATATATAGTTTAATGTTGCGCAGAACTCAGTTACTTGTTCATCTCTATCCCATAAACGTGTATCTGCATGTCTAAACATGCAATTTTTCGTGCATTATTAATGATAAAAGTTTTCTTCATCTTTGGAACATATTGCCAAAAGCATCTGCTTAGTCAATTATAATCATTGACCCTCACCCCCAGTGTAATTGGAAGACTTGAGCTTTTTCCATTAGGTCGTCTTTCAACATTGTATCTGAGGAAAAAAAAAGATCGGTCTCATTTAATTGGTGACTTTTATTAACTCATAGAGATTCGTCGTCTCACTAAATATAAGACTCGGAAGATTATCAATTTAAAATTCTTCATCCTTAATAGATAAATTTTCGATTTGATTTAACATAGAGATGCAGAGATTGTACTAAAAACTATGCTGCGGAAAAGATCTCTGTTCTCCTATATATTTCCCGATTAGTCCTCGTATTCTAATACCACTCCTACATACTGGGCTATAAGTTATGCTTATATGAAATTAGTACTCCTACATACTGGGCTATAAGATTCATATCAAGTGTTACGTGAAAAGAAAAACTCAAAATATTCTGCAAGACATTTCTGCATTTTATGTGGATTTTTTTAATCAAATTACTCCCAAACGTCATCTGAATGAATTTCCCAGAAAAAGATTACAGGAAATAGTCAGTAATAGTCACCACAAACCGTCCTTGACCAATTACAAACCACATCTGTCGCTGAAAATCTTAAACACTGTTCAACAATTTTTTTTGACAAAGCCACATCTGTTACCAGCGGTGCCATTTGAGATCTTAAACTAGTTATCAGAACCTTTTAGGTAAATAGGGTATTGTAGCACAATCAACAAAGGGCTTAGTCAGCCAAAATAATCACATCCATCCCTTAAATTGTACCAATAAGCACGAACCCCCACAAAGACGCTTTAGTGAGGATATTTACCACCAATGTGGAACTTCACAGCACAAATCCGTATTTAATCAGACCCCAATGAAAAGATGAAGAACTTTAACCCCATATGTCAATAATATCTCAAGTAGATGAATAAATGCATTAAGACATTCAGAATGGGACATTTAAGAGTAACTATGATGAAAAGAATAACTAGTATGTGACTTAATCATCTCTCAATTCTTATTTCTTTAAAGAACACTTTGTAAGAAGCAAGTGTGTACTGCAAATGCAGATACGCCAAAGTGAAGGCAATACTTATACTGAAAAGATCCAACGGAAGACATCTCATGAAAAATTCAACAGCTTTCAACACAACATTTGTGACAATGATACTCGCAGATGGATAGGAATTATTTAAAATGCCTTCACAAAGAAACCGTGCAGTTTCAATGGTGCTTGGACTCAAAAAGCCCATCTGGACCTGCATTCACCAAAGGCCAGAGAAAATGGTATTACAACATTGCCAAACCAGGAGGCAGATCAAAATGCATGCACAAAATATGGCTAACATGGAAATTTCAACATCAGAAATAAGTATATCCTAGAAAGTGTACAACAACATGCCATGGGCCCTGAATTAACAATTAAAATAATATAAATATGCAATATCATGTTTACACTAAAAATGAGGCCTTCGGAACAGGCACTCGAACATCAACCAGCAAAACAACAGATAAGCATATGCGGCAGAACATGAAAATTCTGATTTCAACTTCTGACTTTCTCGCAACAGACGAAACTAGAAGAGAAATTCACTCATTGTATTATCTGTCTAAGTTGCCAACAACACCAGGCCACATAAATATGTGGGCAGAAACGAATTACGCCCCTCTTAACTATTGCAGCAAATATCATTGATTGCAAAATGGATAGGGGCATCAAGGGAATAAACTGCATTTTCTGTACATAGTTCTAAGAAATCAACAATTTTTTTCCTGCTAATTTTTTTCGAAATGATGCATATAATACAGTAACATGATAACATATAATGTTCTTATGCTCAACTATTTAAATCTGCAGCATCATTTCCCTAGGGGAAAAAGGATCATGTAAAACCAGCCCCACTACTATCAGGTATTAGATAAGAAGAACACTTCCAACCCCTTCAGTAACATCGAAAGCATGCTGCAACATTTTTTAACCCCAAAAGGAAAAAAAAGGTAATACATCAGTAAAACTCTTCTTATCAAACAAGTGCTGAATGCTGGTAACGGCATTGCTACCATCAAAGGTCAGATACAGTCAAACCTCCAAGCATGAGTCCATAAACATGAAATTATTGAGAGAGAAAATCAGAAAATGACGTGTCATATAATTACCCCATGGAAACTCCTTGTTGCGAATGTGCAAGTATGGGTAAGCCTGCAAGCAGAAGGACATTAAAATTAGATGTAACATCAAAACAATCTTCCGTGTTGTCATCTTGAAGTTAATAGATTGAGACACTTCACTAGTGTTACTATCATTCTGAAAAAAATCAATACATGCCGCTCCAAGCAATATCAAAATAGCCATAATGCCAAGGATTGAAATTAGATATTGGCTTCTCAAAAGTCCAGCTTTTAAGTAAACGATTTGTACGACGAGTGATTCTCCAAAACTCCCTTACTACTCATTTCCAGTCAAATTATATGAAAATTTCCATTTCGGGAAATCACAAAAATGATCAAGCCATTCAAAATAATAGTCCTATAACTCCACCATTGGTTCAAGAATTCCAATTAAAACATAAGAACCATATTCCATCATTTAGCCTTCTCAACTACTATTTAAACATTTTCTTCATCGACCACTTATATAAAACATAAGTCAATTATCACATAAAATAGGATTAACGATTTATACTTTACCATATACATTGATCTATCAACAAACTAATGGAAATTTAACCAAAAAAAACATTGTAAGGATCATCTTCGGTCATTTAGCCTTTCTAAAGAAACTTATTCCTTCTCTTCTCTAAGCCTTAGGGGGGCCGTGGAATTAGTCGCAAGCCAGCATGGAACAGACACAAAAATGTCCTATTCTCTAACTGCCACTCCTTCCTTGGTGTTTCCTACTCCTTCCACCTCTAATATATTGATGCCCTCTGTCCTCTATTGTTGATTCATATCTTGGTTCAATAGTTATTTTAACTACTTTCTTAATTATAAGTATCTAAAGCACACACAAGCTTATTCATAGTATTTTATTTTCTGAGGAAATGAATGAGAGTCTTCATGAAGTTGTAAAGAAAAAGAGTTCTGCTACAATTCTCCTCTTGAAATTTGAATTTAAACACTTAAACATCTCCCTTGCAGTAGTAAGTATTGGTAAAATTTCCCAGCTGCTTTAACCTTATTATGGCCGTTCATTATGAATATGTGATATATTTCTACACATTGCACTTATTTACCCTGCTTTTAGGTATTATGTGGACTGAAGGATCAAACAATTATTTCCACTACTTGAAAAGAAACAAATGCATAACCACTGATAAACAAAACCAATAAGAATTTCTAAAATTAACCTTACATCTGCACCTAAAATGGATAGATAGACACGTGAACATACCATTGAATACAAAAAAAAATATTATTGACATCAAAGAAAGTAAAACAAATTCATTGACAAAGCTTACAGGAGGCTCTTCACTGTGAGGATGACCCTTGGAGAGATTAACCACTGCAAGAATAGTGCTAGATATTATTGCAACGTAAGTGATTTTCTCCCATTTAGAAGCTTCCCCTGGCCACAGAAATCGAAAATACACGTTCAAGTTAATCACTTCAAGAAAAACGAACCTACTATGCCTCAACCCCAAACTAATAAGGATCGTTATATCAATTTCGCTCATGCCCATTTCATACTAATGACTTGTCCTATTTCAAGAAAATGTAAATACAATATGTACGCAACCCAAGATCTAAAGAAACGCATAAAAAAACAGAGAGTTGTATATTAAGGATTAGAGATCGGATTCAATGCAAGCACAAACGAAGAAAACCTAATCCAAATTGAGAACGAATAAAGATTACATACGGGCCTCTTCTTCGACGGAGGCGTGAGAAGAGAAAGTCCTCTTGGGAGCCGGCGTTACACGAGGAGCGCGGCCACGGAGGGCGGAGCGAATACTAGATCTGAACATCGCCGTCGCCATTTAGGGATTTTCTTGTTCTTGTGATGGTGGATTGACTTTTCCGTTTGTGTGCCCTTCGCCTCTGTTATAATTAACTACTTCTCACGCTTTACCTTCTCGCATGTGCGAAGTCTTTTTAAGGTCCGTTTTTTTATGTTTGACCAAGTTTAAGGGGTCGTTGTTTAACAATTTTTTTAAATAGAGATCTGCAGAATTTTATTTTGTATTTCATAAAAATAAATGCTGGTTTTGGTAATTATCAAAAAGTTAATTTTTAATAGCTCAAATGAATTTAATTTGAAAATTCAAAAACAATTTTACAAAACTCAATTTTTGCAGATTTGCAAAACAAAATATGTTAGTTTTCTAATAATATTGTTAGTTTTAATTTCTCTGATTATTATTAATACTTATTAGATATTTAAACAAGACAAGTTTAATTTATGACTTTCACATTCAAAAATTCAAAATGGCATCAAGAGTTTTTTAAAAATTACTTTACAGCTTATTCACCTAGCTCATAGCAATTAAAAAAAAAAAGACACATATTCCATTGAAGCAACCTATTGAATATTTCATAAATTATTGATATTCGATGGATTAAGAAAAACTATTGTTATTCTCAAAAGTCAAAGTGCTCAAGTAAAGCAGTTTTTGTATAAGATGAGTTGCCAAATGTTCTTTGATAATGGATCGTGGCTGAGTAATCAATTGCGTAACTCGAAAGGCCAAATCAAGCATAAACTAAACGGAAGTCGGGGGCATGTGAAAGAAATTGATAACCAAATATCTGGAGAAAGATAGAATGTTGTTCATTTTTTTCTAAATTTGTTCAATTTCTGTGAATATCCTGTAGATATTTTTTCATTTTGTTGTAAGCCTCATCGATGAAAGAACAGATTAGAAATTTAATGAATATCCATTTTATACGATCTCAACATTATCACGCTTCCTTTTATCTTTCGGGAAAAAAAAATCATGTATTATTATACATTGTATAGTTATCAGACAATCAAATTTAGCATGTACATGTATAAAATGGAGATCTGTTTTTACAAATATTTTGCTAGTGCTAATTAAGTGTATGGGAAAAAGAACATATAATGACCCGTCAAACTCTTACTCATAAATCAGTATTCTTCTCCTTCACTACCCTCTTCACCTTGCCCATACTCAGCACCCACCTCCTCATAATCTTTCTCAAGCGCAGCTAAATCTTCACGGGCTTCAGAAAATTCACCTTCCTCCATGCCTTCACCCACATACCAATGAACAAATGCTCTTTTCGCGTACATTAGATCAAATTTGTGGTCGATTCTGGAGAAAACCTCAGCGACACTAGTGGAATTGGATATCATACACACTGCTCTCTGTACCTTGGCCAAATCACCTCCGGGGACAACGGTTGGTGTTTGATAGTTGATGCCACATTTAAAACCTGTTGGACACCAATCAACAAATTGAATACTACGTTTGGTTTTGATTATGGATACAGCAGCATTCACATCCTTAGGAACCACATCCCCTCGATACATTAGGCAGCATGCCATGTACTTGCCACGACGAGGATCACATTTGGCCATCATAGAAGCTGGTTCAAAAGCAGTTGTGGTGATTTCTGCCACAGAATGTTGTTCGTGGTGAGCCTTCTCAGCAGATATAACCGGAGCATAAGACGAAAGCATGAAGTGGATCCTTGGGTATGGAACCAGGTTAGTCTGGAATTCATTCACATCAACATTCAAAGCTCCATCAAACCTCAAAGAAGCAGTGAGAGATGAGATCACCTGATTAGAAGTTAGAAAACTCATTACATTGATAAGAGAAATACAAGGATTCAAACGGTTCAACTGACAAGGTATTGTCTGCTCTGGCCACAAAAGTTGGACCCCAAGCAGACAATACCTTCATTACAGAATGGAGGAGTTGTAAATGTGCCAATACCTGTGACACCAATCGGTTCAAGTTGGTATAGGTGGGGCGTTCAATGTCAAGGGATCGACGACAAATGTCATAAATGGCTTCATTATCAAGCAAGACAGCAACGTCTGTGTGTTCCAATAGGGAGTGGGTTGACAGAACACTATTGTATGGCTCCACCACAGAGGTTGAAACCTGAGGAGAGGGATACACAGTAAACCCAAGCTTGGATTTTTTACCATAGTCCACCGACAAACGTTCTAATAAAAGTGAACCTAAGCCAGAACCAGTGCCTCCACCAACAGCATTAAAGACCAAAAAACCCTGCAGACCAGTGCAGTTGTCTGCAAGCTTTCTGATTCGATCCAAGCAAAGATCAACGATCTCCCTTCCAACTGGTAAAGAAAAACAAAAATAGAGACTCAACCATCAAGAGTTATATCATAAGTTCAAAATAAGGGTAGAATTGAATTAGGTGCAGGATGTGTACTTGTATAGTGTCCTCGTGCGAAGTTGTTTGCTGCATCTTCTTTGCCACTAATCAATTGTTCAGGGTGAAATAACTGGCGATATGGTCCAGCTCTCACTTCATCAATAACAGTGGGCTCAAGATCAACAAAAACAGCACGAGGAACGTGCTTCCCTGAGCCGGTTTCGCTGAAAAATGTATTGAAGGCATCATCACCTCCTCCAAGAGTCTTGTCTCCTGGCATCTGACCGTCCGGCTATTGAACACACAAATAATTCAGGATACATTATGGAATGAGAAAAAACTAATTGACGGTATAATTCACTCATTTCTTGAAGATATGGAAAGACAAGAACCGATTAGTTCCACAGTTACCCAATTTTCATTAAGAACAAATACTCAATCATGAGTTAATTGGGTATGAAAAAATGAATTTTTTTTATTTTATTGAAATTAGTTTCTTCTCGACGTACACCAGATGAAAGATGTATATTATTAACATCATTCAAGAAAACATAAAAGAAAAGGAGATGACCTGGATGCCATGTTCGAGGCAATAAAGTTCCCAGCAAGCATTGCCGACCTGAATACCGGCCTGACCAATGTGAACGGATATGCATTCCCTCATCTTTCTCTTTTTTTAATGATATGTTTTTTTTGCAGAATCAATGAGGAAGCCCTTTATGAAGACTTCCGACGATCTCCAGAATTGGAATGCTTTGCTCTGCTCTGCTCCGCTCCTCCCCTTCTCGGATTCTACGGAGACATCATAAATAAATGGAGGGACACACACCATTGGGTTTTTTTGGAAAAAAATATTTCTGTGTATATTGAAACAAATTCATATTACCTTTGGTTTTTATTTATTTCCATCAACAAATTTATTTTTTTTAAATATCTTAAAAATCTTGGTAAAATAGATCAGCAAGAACGAATATTCTAACTTTTTGACTTAAGATGGATAAATTTCATTTTGTATTTGTACTCTCATCAAACTCCAGCAAAGATTAATTCATCCATACAAGAATACTTGTATATGAAAGTAAAGTTCATATATTGCAACAAAAACACGATGTTTTAGTCTGTTACAATATGAATTTTACAAGGTCAGCAATATTTTAGTTAAGCTACTATGTGGATTACTGGAGTATCTAACAAGGAACTTGTTTAAAACCCCAGCAAGCAAACTAAATTGACCTATGAAGCAGACCTAAACAGACACCTAATTTCACACATTCTTTTACATTTTACACTAGTATCAAGTTACTCAAGCAAGCACATTTTTGAAACTGTGAAAAGCTAATGCGTTGTTTTAGAACGAGCGGAGGGGATATTCTTCAGCAATTCAACAACTCTTCTCATGGAAGGCCTATTGATAGGCAATGCTGAAGTGCAAAGCAAAGCCACATCCAAAACATTTTTAATCTCTGCGTAATCGCTTGCAGATGGATTCATTCTCTGGTCAACTAGCTGATTCAAATCAAGAATACCACCTGCGCACGTAACAATATGGCCAGTTCCTTCGTCTTTCTTAGACGATGTTGCAACCTCTAACACCCACTTGACAACGTCCTTATCCTCTCCGAAAGAGGAGTCATTAGGCCTTTTACCAATTATTAGTTCCAACAGTACCACACCAAAGCTATAAACATCACTCTTCTCAGTGATCTTCAGAGTGTAGGCATATTCTGCAATTGAAACAAAAGGAATTGAGGTTAAGTTTAGACGCGCAGCTGAAAACCTTGGATAACACATTTGCCGTCCCATGAGATATTTAGCAAACTTTAGCATCTTCCTAATCATTAAGTAGCCAAGATCAACTTAACAAACTGTTTGCAATTGCAAGAGGAATGTTTTCTAGTATCAAAAGGCCATCAAAAGTTTTCCATCAAGGGCGTGGTTTCTGTATTCTTCTCACTTTTGCAAAGGAAGGGCACACGGGCAGTCACAGACCGGATAGTGTCAGCTTTACAAAAAAGATGAAATTGTATGTCCAATCAAAGAGGACTTATGGTGGTAAATAGAATTTAAGACATCGATAAATTAGATAAATAAGAAACGACACTTAGGCACATGTTCTTTCAATCCTATTCTTTTAGACCAATTCTTGAATTACGTTAACTAATGCTAGGTGACAGGACACACATGACCCTCCTATTTTTTATTCTTTCAATCAAATCTTGATTGTGCTAACAAACATTAGGTGACAAAATCATTCAATAATTCCATGTGATCTCAGAATTAAATATTACTACTGGTGTAGAATAAATGGTCATGCAGACTTTAGAAAACGGAGTGCCCAACTATGCTTAGATTGTACTTTGACAAACCCCAAATGAAACTCAGGATTAAATATTTCAGGTAGTCAAAACTAAACAGTCATGCAGACTTCAAAAATGGGGTGCCCAATCATTCTTTGGTTTTACATTGACAAATCCCCTTGCCAATCATATAATCAAGCATTAGCAAGCAAAAAAACAATATGCAGACTTCAGAACAGCGTCCAGTTAGAGGAATGAAACTAGATGCTACCATTAAATGGAGAATATTAAGGTTTCCAATCTACTAATAAGTTTGAAACATCTCCTAAAATCTTATCTGGCTTCATACAAAAGAATCTCAAATCAAATCAAATCAAAATTTTAAGATAGTATGCAAAGTTAACCAAAACTTCCAGAAAACTATTTTTGGATGTCCTTGATATGCCAAACGCAAGATATTGAATA